TCACATTCTTTTACCATAACTAAAATTCTCCACCAAAAATATCACAAAATTGTTTACTTGTCTTCATATTACAACAATGGCTTCCATGGTTAATGTTATGAGTCCAATAGTTACGAGAAATCTCATTACCAAATTCAAAACTCAACGGCTGAAACCGGATCTACCTTCTCTACAACATTCCAGCTGGTTCAATGCAATCAAGAATGATCCAAGAAAGATGATAAATAAGTATGCTTCAAGGAGAAATATCGTGGTTTCATGTTTAGATCGACCTAATTCTAGGCCTAATCAAATCTCTGGGTATGATGCTGTTATGAAATTTTATTCCTCTATAAACGAGAAGAATCAAGATCAATTAAGTAGTTGTATTTCAAGCGATTGTTTTATCGATGATTTCTCCTTTTCAAAGCCTTTTCGAGGAAGAAAAGTAAGAAATTTTCTATAAGAACTCTTTGAAAATATATAAATCTATACTATGTGTATATTATACATTTTCAAGATTTGTTTTTGTGAATGAATTAAAATATTTTTGCAGGAAGCTATGAAGTTCTTTGAAGAACTTGTGAAGAGTATGGGACAAAACGTTAAGTTTTGTGTTGAAAATGTGTGTGAAGGAGATGGACATAGTGCTGCTGTTAATTGGCATCTTGGTACGTATTAGTACATATATACATTTCTAAAGCTTATTGCCTAATTATATATATGTAATTTGATAGTCGAATTGGTCTTCCTTTCATTTTCTGTTTATTGTTATGAAGAATGGAAAGGACGAAAAATTCCCTTTACAAGAGGATGTAGCTTCTATGAATTTACAGATGAAGGAGGAAAACTGGTTATAAGGTGTAACTTGTTTTTTTTTTAGAGGGATACATTTTTTTTCTAACAACAAGCATTTATATTTATGTAGGATGGTATACTGCATACATAAATGATATGTTTAGTGAAAAAAATATCTCAATTTTTATTTATTTCAAATCTATACTAATTAACAAATAATCTTTTAAATGATTTGACAAAAAATTCAGAAACGCGAGGATTTTGATTGAATCGCCAATTAAACCGGGAGGAATCACATTGGTAAAATAGTTATTCTCAATTTTTACAACGAAAAATATAGATGAGAGGTATTTTGATACACTTTTACATTTATTATATTGATAATATTTTGTTCAGAGCCTGTTAAAGAACATCACCTTCTTGTTCGACGAATTTCCAAAAGGAGCTGAGTGTAAGTTTTCAATATTGATATATTTTTACTTATCACACTTCATTCAAAATTCTTAAGCGCAATGTTTTGTTAAAATATTCTTTGTTCTCTCAAATGTTTCAGTGTTTTTGGAGAAACCTTATGCTATAATCCAAGCAACAATACAAATTTATGGACTATTTTTGGCGCCACTCGTAAACCATGTAATGGCAAGCTACCTGAAGCTTTTAAGCAATATGGCCGAGTTTTTCTTATTAGTCGTGAAAATTATCATCAAAATTCGAAACCTCTTCTTCAAATAGAAGAAACAATTAAGGATTACATGTTATTATTCTTAATCATCTTTTCCCTATATTTGATGATATTATTTTACTAACCCCATTATATGATTATTTGTATTTTAAAATTAAAAAAAAACATTAACAATCTTGAGGGGTTGGTAAATAGAGATATTAAATTGAGTTTTTTATTCGTGATCCTGCTCACAAACCTAAGGTTAAATTTTCAGGCTCTCGACCTACTCACAAAACTAATGTTAAATTTGATAGAGAGCAAAAGAAGCTGCCCAAATCAGAATTTGTTTCTGACCATGTAAAATGGTAACCACATCGGAACAAGAGCAAATCAAATACAAAATCGTTACCGTTTTGAGTCTTTTACTAAATTAATCGCTTTAAACCTTTTTTTTTTTGGACAAACATCTTTTTTTTTTTGTCATCGGACAAACATCTCTTTTTTTTTTTTGTCGTCTAAATTTATTATTAATTGCAAATTATGAGAACTGTTACATAGACGATTTTACAACTAACAATTCCTTCCGACCCTTACTAGATTCACGACATACTATACTTCTTTCTTCGTAATCTTGATAAATACCTTCAATGATCTACGACCTAGCGAGACTTCCATCCCTGCGTAGAATCCTGGCGAACGACTATAATTGTACATCGCTGGAGATTTCTTGCCCCCTTGCCTCCATTAATCTGCAAATTTGTTAATAAATCCCAATACCTGGGACTCGAACCCCATCCCTCTTGGTGTAGAAGCATTAATCAACCCTTGGTCAACCAATGGGCCAAAGGAGCTTCCCCTCGGACAAACATCTCTTTAAACCATTTTTAACAATCACTTACCGTTTAAAAAAAAAAAAAAAAAAAAAAAAAAAAAACTCTTTTTCCATTTACATTTACGTTGAGCCCAAATTATAAACAAAGCCCATAAAACAAAAAAAAAAAAAAAAAAAAAGCCGAAAAGTTCTTTGCGTTTTTCGCCTATAAGAACAAAATTGCAGAGAAAAAAGAGAGAAAATGTCTCATAAGTCCCTTTTTGTAAACACCAAACCTCTTATATCCTTTTTTTGTCTACATATCCCCTTCTCTATTAATGAAATGTGTGTTGACGATTTTACCCTTCTATCATTTTCAGAATAATTAATTATTTGCTGAAATTAAAAAAAAAAAAAAACGAAAACTGGAAAAAAAAACGACGAAAACTCGAGCTCGAGAGCTTGCTCGAGAAAATGTCTCTCAAGTCCCTTTTTGAAAGCAACTAACCTCTTATATCCTTTATTTGTCTACATATCCCCTTCTCTATTAATGAAATGTGTGTTGCCCATTATACCCTTCCTTTATTTCCAGAATAATTAATTATTTACTAAAATTAAAAAAAAAACGAAAACTGGAAAAAAAAAAAAGTGCTCTCGCTCTCGTCGTGCTCCTCTCCTCCTCCTCGCTGCAGATTCGATTTGCAGTCACCATTGTTGCAGTATCCTCTCCTCCGGCGAGCTGGGTCGAGATAGAAAGGACATGTATATTTCTCGAGCTCCTTTGAGCTTGAAATTGAATCAAAACCATTTAGAATTAAGGAGATTGAATCCAATTGGATTTAGCTAATTGTTTGATATGCACATTGGAAGTTTATGCATAGTTTCTGGGTCGAATAGGTCTGTAAATGGGTAAGAAATGGATTACAGCAACCGAATCATAGTGAATTATAGTTTTGAACCTGAAACCATTCGATTTGAGTTCTTGCCGCGAAAGTACAACTGGTACAACTGGGTAGAATTGAACTTGAATCTATTGAAAAATATATGTGTAGTATTACTAGTTACACTAGTATTACCCAGATGTATGTAATATGACTAGTTACACTAGTATTACCCATATACATGTAATATTACTAGTCACACTAGTACTTACACTAGTATTTCCCAGATATATGTAGTATTACTAGTTTTAATAGTATTACCCAGAATTGTAGTACAACTAGTAAAACTAGTATAACTGGCAAAATTTTTGTATTGTTTTGGCAGGATACAATGAGGGAGAATGGATCATATATTTTAAATGCGAAAGTCGCATGTATAGCTTGATGATGAAGACATCAGGGGAGAAGATAACTCTCTCCATGTTAGAAGGTAGGATATGCACGAAGCTAGGGTTAGATAAAAGTAGGGTTAAATTGCAAATGAGGTACAATGCAGTGGTGTTGGGACCAGAGGAAGAGATTTACATTTGTGATGATGAGGATGTCAGTGTCTATATAGTTTTAGGTGAAAATAACCGTAGATATGTTTTGTATGTGGAAGTCATCACTCCACCAGAATTGTCCGAGCAACTGTGGAGAGTAGGGGTTATGTTTTGTTTTGTTCGTGGTTGTTATTTGGCAATCATAATATTTGATTTTATCTGCACTTTATGATTTGTAAAACAGTTTCGAGTTGGACAACTATGTAACACTAGTTTTCCTGATGTAATACTATTTTTTTTTTCTATGGAAAATGGGTAAAACTAGTATAACAAGTAGTACTAATGATGAGATTTGGTAATACTGGTAAAACTGGTATAACTTATGAAGGAATTTGAATTTCGAATTAATTTTTTCCAACATTAAATATTACACTGACTATTAAGTGATAATGAACTCTTATAATGATATAAAATAAATTAAGTGAGAAAAAAAATTATATCATATCGGATTGTTTTAATAGACTCCATACAACATAATCCTTATACTTTTAAGTTCACTTTTTATAAAAACACCAACTTAGGATGGAAAATTTACAATTTTATATATTTTTAACATATAATTACAAAAAAACATTAAGAATTCTATATTTATAAAGTTTACTCAAGTGTACAACTAGATAAGCAATTTTTAAGAATATGTAATACTGGTTAAACTGAAAATCACCAAAAGTACAACTATGTAGAAAATTGGTACAACCGATAACTTGGGTACAACTACGTTTTAAAAAAGCTGCGCATTGGTGGAAAAAAACGGCGCACACGTGAATAAGATGGGGCCCACGTATCCCAAATTTGAAATTTTCCGATTTTTTTGGGTTTTCTCGCTAATTTGACGGCGCACATGTGTAAATTTGACTCGCACATGTGTAAATTTGACGGTGCACATAGTTTTACCTAGTAATACCAGTAGTGTAAATCAAAAAACAAAACCAACATAGTTTTACCTAGTATTACCAATTGTACAAATCTAAACAACAACCATATGACAAAGATATAGTGAAGAAGATATATTCTTCTTCACCTCCAGCTACCATGATACTATCAATTTCATGTGGAATATGACTTCATGGACATATCATATTCTCTAGTCTTTGTTTGCCCAATAACAATGCTAAATAAGTAGAAGACCGTGTGAAATAAATTAAAAAGTCGAAATTTTCTCCCAAATGGCTCCACAGACGTAGCATATTCTCCAGTCATTTCGAACATTTGATTTTGGGGAATCAACAATTAATTATTGTTATACTTTCTTCATAAGTTTCTCAAAAGACTGATAATTATACCTAGTTGTACCAGCATTACAAATAAAATCCGACTAGTTTTATCTAGTTATACCAATACTATGACAGAGTTATCTTCTCCCCTGATGTCTTCATCATCAAGATATTCATGCGACATTCGCATTTGAAATATATGATCACGTTCTCCCTCATTGTATCCTGCCAAAACAATACAAAAACTCTGTCAGTAATACTAGTTTTACTAGTTCTACTACATTTGTAGTAATACTAGTGTAACTTGTCATATTACATATATCTGGGTAATACTAGTGTAACTAGTCATACTACATATATCTGGGTAATACTAGTGTAACTAGTCATACTATATATATCTGGGTAATACTAGTGTAACTAGTCATAGTTATACCCTTGTATTACCAGTATTACTGATAATAGTAATACCCTTGTATTACCAGTATTACCCAATTCTACATGTATATCACACACAATAGTATTCCCTGTTCTACCAGTTTTACCAAGATACCTTAGTGTTTCCCTGTTCTACCAGTTTTACCCAGATATCCAAATAATGTTACCCTATTATACCAGCATTACCCAATTCAAATACTTACCATCTCCGCCGCATTTTTCACTCGATTTCCATTTGCTATCTCATCCTCGATACTCTCATCAGAGGAGGAGTCCAACAAGGTTGTACTACTACCACTAGTCTCTCCTCCGTCTTCGCCATTCCCTTGACCTTCTTCGTTCTCTTCTTCTTCGTTCTCTTCTTCCTCATTCCCAGACTCTTCTTCCTCATTCTCTTCTTCATCTGCCTCGACAACCGGACTTAACATCGGAACTTCTTCTTCAACTCCTTCTCCTCCCTCAATTGGCTTCTTTAACTCCGTCGGGGATGGCTGCAAACTCGTTGCTCCTCCATCTTCTTCCCTTACTTCTTTTCATCGATCCGGAGCATACGTTCCCCTCTTCCTCTTTCTCCCAGCCATAATCGACAACAAGGATTTTCGAAGATAAAACGGAGATTTAAAGGGAGAGAATTGGCAACGAAATCGAGAGATATATGAAGTTGAAATCGAGAAATCATGGAGATAACGGTTGTCTCTTTTGAATTTCTTAACTATTGAAGACGAATTGAATGAGAATCCATGTCGTGGAAAGAGGAGAGAAAACGAAAACGCAGAAAACGGAGAGAAAATGGTCGTGAGAGAAGTTGGCTCGTTGAGAGGAGTTAAGGTTTGTGGGTTTTTGGGTTAGATCCAAAATCAATTTGGTTGGGTAGATAAAACCCAAGTTTAATGTGTAATTTTAGTATTTTGGCTAGGGTAATATTGTAACTTCCGGCATTTTCGATTTAAAATTAGAGTTTGTCAAAAGGTGACTCCCCAGACGATTTCTCGAAAAAAGAGAGAATTTGATCACCGAGGCAGCGAAGAAGATGAGGACACTGTGGAGCCACTTGAGTGCCATTTCCAATTGCAAAATTTCTCCGAGAATAAGAAGAATATCTTCAGCAAATCTGACCTCAAATCGAAATCTTTCAACCATTTCTTCTACTGAAGATCCCGAGCTCAGAGATTTTGTGGGTTTTTTAGAATCTCTCAAAAACTATGAGAAATCAGGTGTTCCAAAAGGAGCTGGAACTGATTCCGGTGATGGATTCGATCTCAGTCGAATGAAACGTCTCATGCTTCGCCTCCATAATCCTCATTCCAAATACAAGGTTCGTGCTTTTTTGCTAATTCACCATTTCTCTTACTGATTGCTAAGTTAAAGGTCTCACCTTTAGATTTGGATTGTTTTTTCTTTTGTATTCTGATTATTCTCTTATGGATTGAAAAGCACTTGTAATTGTTGGAAGTTGTTTATATAAAGGTCTCATCTTTAGATTTGGATTGGTTTTTGAATTATGCATATTTTGTTTGCTGGTTATTGGTTCATGATTAGTGGAAGGTGAGATTAACAGTGAGGGCAGTGATTGTAGGTTGTTCATGTGGCTGGAACTAAGGGAAAAGGGTCAACTTCTGCTTTTGTCTCTAATATCTTACGAGCTGGAGGATATTCAGTTGGTTGTTATTCGAGGTACATAATGCTGACTTTGTATTAAGATTTTACTATATCTTGAGTTGGAATCTTTCATGGTTACTTGCATGAGCTTTTGTTCTTTATTGCAGCCCACATATTTTGAGTATCAAAGAACGTATCTCTTGTAATGGAGAGCCTGTCTCTGCATCCACTCTTAATGATCATTTCTATTCAATCAAACCGATTCTCGAACAGTCTATTCAAGAGGAAAATGGTTCTTTGAGTCATTTTGAGGTTAGCAATCTTAGCTTTTACTAGACTCTGTCTTCCACACAGTTTCGTGTTGTTTCTTATATAGGCTTTTCTTTTTGGCAGATTCTCACTGGGATAGCTTTTTCTTTATTTGAAAAAGAAAATGTCGACATTGCGGTAATAGAGGTTGGCTCATCTTTTTACATTAGACAATCTAAAGAGACTTTCTTATGCTATTGTTAGCTTGTCGTCTAGTTTAATTAGCTTATTTATAGCACGGTTTTATATTTGTCTGGGTGTCATCAGGCTGGGCTAGGAGGAGCTCGAGACGCTACAAATGTCATTGAAAGTTCCAATCTTGCTGCATCGGTCATAACAACGATAGGTGAGGAACACATGGCTGCTCTTGGGGGTTCCTTGGAAAGTATCGCAGAGGCCAAATCTGGAATTATTAAACACGGTCGCCCAGTTAGGTGGTTTTTATGTATTTGCTTGTCTTATAACCATTGGATTCAGCACATTGATAGATAGGGTTTTATGTGTGGTTATAAAACTTGTAGGTGGTTTTAGGTGGGCCGTTTCTTCCTCATATTGAGGGCATTCTTCGTTCTAAAGCAGCATCGATGTTGTCATCGGTTATTTTGGCATCTAATATTGGATCTAGTTCGTCAATCAAAGGCATCATCAACAAAAATGGGTTCGGGCTTTGCCAGTCCTGTGACATCGTGATACAAAATGAGAAAGATGATAAACCAGTAAGTTTTTTTTTTTTTTTGTCAAACAACCAGTAAGTTTCAAAGACCTTTTATTCTTTTATTTAAAGCAAGAATTTCATGTGTGGTTCATAATATATCAACAAATTGTACATATAAATGCAGATTGTTGAGCTTAGTGATGTAAACCTACGTATGCTTGGACATCACCAGCTCCAAAATGCTGTTACTGCCACATGTGTGTCTCTTTGTCTTCGCGATCAAGGTATGATGCACTTTGAATCTCTATTTAAAGCAACAAAAGAATTGAACAAGCTTACAAATTTTGTTAACTTTTATTATGGAATAATAATCAGGATGTGGGAGAGTGACAGATGAAGCAATTAGGATTGGTTTAGAGAATACTCGTTTACTTGGGAGAAGTCAGTTTCTGACACCAAAAGAAGCAGAGACTTTACAATTACCCGGAGCAACAGTGCTTCTTGATGGAGGTTGGTTATAGCTTTAATGTCTCTACTTCGGCTCTGAGTCAATTTAAATTTTTGTTTCTTCTCTTGAGTATCGTAACATTAGATACAAACCACTTTGCTTGAGACTTTTGGTTTACGGTATCAACCTTTGGTCTGTTTATCAGCCCACACCAAAGAATCTGCGCGAGCTCTAAAGGATATGATAAAGAAAGATTTTGCAGAGAAGAGGATTGTGTTTGTGATTGCAATGGCTAGTGACAAAGATCATGTGTCCTTTGCAAAAGAACTTCTCACAGGTCTAAAACCAGAAGTAGTGATTCTAACAGAAGCTGACATTGGTGGAGCTAAGATTAGATCAACGTCGTCTTCAGTGTTGAAAGAATCATGGATAAAAGCTGCTGATGAATTGGGGTCAGGGTCTATGGAAGCTTCAGAAAACAAAACTGTGTTGGATTCCTTAAAGCTTGCCTACAAGATTCTCAGCGATGACAGAAGCAGTAGTGACTCAGGAATGGTTATCGCAACGGGTTCACTTCACATCGTATCTTCAGTCTTAGCTTCTCTTCAACAGTAAATTAGCTTCTTTTCCCTTATACTACTTGTGATTATATTTGTGAAATGAAAACTGAGTTTACGTATTATTAAACCAATATACAAAACAGAGAAATCATTTTGGATCTTCATGACATTTGATGGGAGTGGTACTTAACTTGGAACCTTCTGAGCGAGGCAGAGACTTTCAAATAAAGCAAACAAACAAGTAGGTGAGATTATTAGTTGTAGTTTTTGTCCCACATCGGTTGTGTAGAATAGTGAGAGGCTCGTGGGCTTACTATATAAAGAGAAGAGGTGGCTCCGATAGAAAGTATGATCCTTCAGGCAAGTTAAAGGGGAAATGAGGAATGGGTTTAATCTCGCTTTAAATGCGTGATGAGCGTTCCGCTCAAAGCCTGTTACGACTAATTGGGCGCTCCAATTTTTATACCATCTGATCCCTCTCTTGTTCCAACTATTTTTAAAAAAATAATATTTTTACTCTAAAAAAATCACAAAATTTATGTTTTTAAATAAATAAATAAAAATATGTTCGCGATGAAAGGATAATTTTTTTTTTTAGCCCACATGTTATTGGCCTAGTTTTTATAAAATTTTACGAATATACTATAATAGAATTCTTGTAATTTGATGGTAGTAATTTTGTAGTATTTGGCTATACTTATGTTCTCATGTTAGGCCTGAGCCAAGTTTGAGTTTACGTCATGTTCTCTGTGATGCCCATCGAAACCAAATACACAATTTGATCAAGTTTTAAAGAAACCAATGAGTGAATTGAGAAATAAAAAGGTATAAAATGTACATGAGGAGCCAAACCTAACCAGAGCAGCTTATCAAACAACTTGTCTGTTTGCAAGTACTATTCTGTCACATTTCATCACATCTCATCAAACCAATATTTCATCTAGAAGACATGTCATTTCGAGTAGATTCTGAAGCCCACGATTGGCCCATCTTCGTTTAGGGTTTTTGTAGTTTCTTCAATTGTTATATATATTTTTCCTTAACCGCAAGAAATCAGAGGAAAAGGAAAATAGGGATTTTAAAAGTGAGAAAAAAAAAAAACATTTTTTTGCGATTTGAAACAATGACGTCGATGATATCCAGTCTTCCAAGAGAGTTGATAGAAGAGATTATTTCTAGGGTTCCCTTGAGATCTATGAAATCAGTGAGATTAACTTGCAAAAGTTGGAACAATTTATCCAAAAGTGAGATCTTTACGAAGATGCACATTGATAAAGCAGCAACAAGAGAAGAGAATACTATGATGATCTCGATGATGCCTCACGATCTTTATTTAATGAGCGTCACTGTGGACGACGTTGATCCATCTGTAGAGCTTAAAGGCCAGCTTAGTTTTCTTGATAATCAAGTTAGTATATATCGAGTCTTCCACTATGAGGGTTTGTTGTTATGCATCTTTGAAGACCCTACTAGGGTTGTGGTTTTGAATCCGTATTTGCGGCAAGCAAGGTGGATCCAAATCAGATTTTCTCACCTTTCAATCGGATGGGACAGTTTCAGGTATGCTCTTGGATACGCAGACAAAGAATCTTGTCGTAGCGTTAAATTCTTGAGGTTTCTTAGATTCTTCATCTAGGTGCGAGTATGAAATCTACGATTTTGACTCTAGTTTATGGACAACTCTTGATGTCACTCCACACTGGTGGATATCTTGCTCTAGCTATGGCGTTTCTCTTAAGGGAAACACTTACTGGCCTGCGAAAAGGAGCTCACGTGGTCTCTTCGATCACATAATCTGTTTTGATTTTACAAGAGAGAGTTTCGGGCCGCTTCTACCTTTGCCGTTTGGCGCTACGGATCGTGGATATCCATATGTGACTTTATCTTGTGTTAAAGAAGAGAAGCTTGCAGCTTTATTTCAGCAATACTACTCATACTGCAAATGTGAATATGAGATTGATATATGGATTACGACTAAGATTGAAGCTGAAATGGTGTCGTGGAGCAAGTTCTTGAGAATGAATACGAAACCTAATATATATCCAATTATTTTCCTCATTGACGAGGAGAAGAAAATTTTCATGAGTCTTGATAGAGAATTTCCCAAGACATTTCTTAACACCGCTAGAGAGGCTAAATACTTGGATCTCAGAGTATCTGACGGCCAATACTGTCGGCCACCTGTGTGCTCTTATGTTCCAAGTTTGGTCCAAATCAAGAAACCTACACTGAGGCAAAAGGATGAAACAAAGTAGTTTAGAAGAGCATTGATTTGCTCAAGAGTACAAGTTGAGGTTGGTTTGCTAAGTTAAAGGTAATTTTTTGTACTCTTGTATCTGAGATACTTTATTGGAAGGGAGGCTTTTGGTGATTACACTAGTGGTCTGTATGCTCTTAGATGCCTATGTTACGTGATAAAGAACCATATATATATGCTTAGACCTGGTCACTTGCTTGGGTCTCTTCTCTTTTTTTTTTTTTTTTTTTTTTCTATACACCTTTAAACTGTCGCTCCTATCTCACGTTGCTTGCTCTAAACATTCATCAATTCTCTTATTTATAATTCTCAAAGAGGCTATATATACAAGTAAAAAAACAATGTCACCAACATTAATTTTTTTGGATTTTCTGCTTATTGTAGGCATGTTCTTTTTGCTTAAGGACAGCTTACTTAAACTATTCATATTGATTTATATGTCATCAACAAATACAAAACAAATTAAAGTTTACGCTATATAGAAGACTTGAAAAAAGGAGGGCAGACACAGAGTGACGTCTAAATTTCATCAAAACTATAGGTTGATACCAATCTTTTCATGATTTCATTTCATACATCATAAATAGGTTAATAAAACAAATCATAACATTTTAAACTACATAAATAGGAGAATTTAAAAAGGAGGGCAGAGTGTAAAAAGATTCATGTAACGATCCAACATTTCTTCATAAAATTCTACCGTAAAAAACAATCATATTGTGAAATGGTTTAGAGAAAGAAACAAAGTTCCAAAAGACACATTCGTTCTCAAATCAAAGGTACTATGTAACCTTAAATAAGACCAAAAAGAAACAAGAAAGTCCCTTTCAAGGAAGATCGGATCCAGCAGCTGGACCAGCACCACCACCAAAACCACCGGCTCCACGACCAAACCCTTGCCTAGCTCCACCAGCTCCTCCCTGTACAACCCCAAAACATTTAATTACACACCAACATAATTGCAGGACATGAAACCATACTCATGAAAGAAAGACCTAGTGGCAGAGAATAGAACATTTAGGGAAGCCAAGTGCACAACAGATTAAAGCAATGCAATTACACAAGGTACTACAGAGTCAAACTGCTCATAAAATGATTTTAAGTAGGACTTAGTGGCAGAGGCTTGAAAATTTAGAGAACCTAAGAACACAAAATGTTGTTGAGAGATAGTGGCTTCAGAAGTTTCCTCAAAATTAAGCATGATACTAATGCATAACAACTAAAAGGGTTCACAATATGATTTAAAGTAAGGAATAAGTATCAAAGTACCAACAATTCACAGAGAATGACAAGAAAGGAGAGATTGTGTACCCTGTTGAAGGCAGGGTTGTAATCAGCAGGAGCTCCACTCTTGTCACCAAACTCTCCACCTGATCTCGGACCTCCACGGTATGCATCTCTGTCACCAAACTTCCTCTCTCCATCACCACGAGGTGGACCACTGTATAAAACAAATCGAAACCGTCACATATTAACACTTACAAGTAACAGGAAACAATAACACAAGATTGACAATTGAAGATTCAAGTTGATTACCGGGGACGGTCACCACCTCCGAAAGGTCGACCAAGAGGCTTCTGTTGCTTCTTCAAAGTAGCAGGAACAATCTCAGAAGGGAGATTAAGGTAAGTCCTGAGAAAGTCAATGCCTTCATTTGTGAGGAACCAGTAGTAATGCATCCAAGCAAAAGTCTCTCTCACATATTCCTTAGATTTGAAACTCTGCATCAACTTGATAACTTGCAGATTTGGAACACTCTCAATCAAAGGATGTTGTGGTAAATTGAAATCCTTTTTAGCAAACAAAACACCCTCTGCACACAAAATAACCAAATCACAACCATTTCTAAGTACACTTCTCTTGAAACATTCCAAATCAATCACTATGCTTAAAACCCATTAACGTACAAGACAACTAGATTCATAAGCTCAAATCAAAATGGTACCTTTGAAGAGGTACTTGGAGATCTCACGGCGATTCTTCTCTGATATGATCTGGAGAAACAAGATTTTGTTTTTTATACAGTTTGATTATTTACACTCAGCATTTTGAAATCAATATTGGATTAACAACGTAAGGAGTGATTTAGGGTTTAGAGATGTTACCATGATTGCGATGAGATTGAAGAAGGAGGCGACAGAGGAGGTGACTGCGTTTGTATGTGTATAGCTTTCTCTTCTTCTCCTTAACGCGAAACCCTAATTTCGACTAAAGCCGCCACTTTTATAACATGTTTGTTTTAAGGGTTTATGTATCCCAAATTGGGCCGAGATAAAAAATTTTAATGGGCTAATTGACCCAATCCAATTAAATTATCGGGACTAATAGTGGCCGAACATGTAATGGAAATAGTCTAAAAGTTTATCCATGTTTAAAAATATTTGAAATATTGTAGACATTATTTATTGGTCTCGAAGCCCACAAAAAATTAAAGATAGAGCGCATTTTTCCAATCTAACGTTTGCTCTTCCTATCTCTGGGAGTTGTTTAAATAGAGACTCATGTCACACTTCTCTCTCAATATTGGCAATTTAGTTTTCTTTTCTAAAACGTTGCCAAGTTTGATTCTTTTGGTGTCACTTATCAAAATAATGGTCTCTGAGGAAAAAGATTCCAGCAGCGACGACTCCTACTCTGGTGGTTTTGAATTCCGACGCAGAAAAAAACGTAGGCATGAAGAAGAAGCTTTCAAAATGCCAACAATCATAATATCTGACTCAGATACAGAAACAGAACAAGCTTTTGAGGAGAGTATTGATGACCAAACAAAAAATGTGAGTGTGTTCTCTTCTCTTTATGTAAATGTTTTATACTTTTTATGAGTAACGATGTTAGTGTCTTTGTTTTTGTAGGAGGATGAGCTGGTGAGTTACAAAAATAATCTGGAGATTAATAAGGGTGAGAAAGAGAAGAGTGAGGAAGATGACTTGTGTGTTCTTCAAGATGCACTTGAGGCGGCGACATCGTTTCAAGGTTTAAGTCAGTATCAGAAGAATTTGATGTTTCAAAACTTGAAGAATCTTGGAGCTGAAACAATTAAAGAGTTCATCGATGAATGGAAGGCATTGAGTGTTGAGGAGCTACATTTGAACATCAAGAAAGAAACTCTCTTTGCAAAGTTTGCAAAAGCTGGAGTTTGATAGTTTACTTATCCAACGAAGAAAAGAAATTCTGCTTTTGGAATGATTTAGATGTTTTATGTTATTCCTACTAATGTTTCTACTTTCTTGTTGTGTGTTTTGAACTATGCATTAGCGTTTTATAGGCCTGTGGCTTCTTTTTTTTTTAAAAGTTTTATGGAAGACAACTTTTTTAAGTTTCATAGTTTTTTTTTTATCTCCATTGATGTGGTGGTTGCTGCTGCTACCTACTCTCAAGATAATCTGATTCTTCTTCTGCCTTTCTGGGATAACTTAGTGTGAAAAAGAAAGGGATGTTTCACAGTTGCTGCACTTGTTCATCTACAACGCTTTTGAGTTTATGAAATCTTGAAACACAGGCAATGTCTTTAGTTTTGAGCTTTTTTAGTGTTGCGTTTGATCAAACTTCAGGAACTACATTACCAGATGGAAAACAACATTCTTACATTGAAATTTTAAGGGAAAAATCACAGAAAAAAGATAGCACAAGAAAACACATATATACACAAACACCATCATCATCTTCAAATCATAATTAGGTTGAATCATTAAAAACATATTTCAGAATATCAAATACCAACCTGGATTCCTCCCCAAAGCTTCTCGCGCTTGCTGAATTGCATACGGAGCTCGATGAGACATTCCGGTCGAAATGTTTGAGGAAGACGTTTTCTCGGGTATGAATCCCAATGTAGTAACTTTAGACGAGGTAGATATTCCATGTCCTCTGATATTCCCAACGTAACATCTTTGCTAAAATATCTCCCATAGATTCTTAAGAATCGAAGATTACGCATTCCTTCAAAAGCTCGCCCAGTTATAGAGAACTCGCTGATCTTGGACATATCAAATGATATACCTATGACAGATCCAGTACCCTAACAAATATTCCAAAACAAGACTGATGAAACTGTCATCACAAAACCAAAAGTTTATTGAGCAAATTCTCTAGGGAATACTATACATATGAAATAACTTACTGTTTCATTTGCCAGCACATCACGAATCTCTTCGGCCTCTACTAAAAACTGACGTTTCCCGGGATCATCAGACTGTTCATGAACTAATTGCCTCCCTAATTGTTGGAGTAAACGATGCATCTTTATCCACCCTATGGTAGATATATGCACAAGAGATTTATCAGCTAGGGTCTTCATCCCGTTGCTAATATCCAAGTTACTATCAGCTAGCATGGTTGTCACATGATCAACAGTTTCATTGTTGAAAAACAAAGCAATGTGGAGAAATAGAGACTGATCTTTCTTCGATAATTTGCAATATCCGACCCTTAACACGTTTTCAATCTTTCTATCAAGACTAGTTTCTAGTTTAGATAATTGACGTTCCCATTCATGCCTGCTCTCCCTACGCAAAGATGAACCCACAACACGAAGGCCTAACGGAAGACTACCGCAAAAATTTGTTATTTTTTTTGCAAGCTCTTCAAAACCAACCAGTGGAGAATTTTTCTGAAAAGCAGATAGACATAAGATCTCAAGAGCTTCTTCTTCAGACGGATAACCCACATGGTAGATATAGTTTACCCAATGTGCATTCAATATCTGTCTATCTTCTGTGGTAACAAAAATCCGACTTCCTAGACCAAACCAAGATGGTTCTTTAGCCAAGACATCTAATTGTTCAAGATCATCTACATCGTCAAGAACTATAAGGACTTTTTGGTCTAGTAGCCTTTCCTTTATTGCACCTAAATGATCTATCGTCATATCCTTTTCGTTCAAAATCTTGGAAAGAAGTTGGTTTTGTAAACACAACTTCGAACCATAGTCATCAATAACATCACTCCCATAACTTCCCTTGAGGTTCTCTATAAAACATTTAAGTTGAAAATTGGCAGAAAGCTGGTTGAACAAAGCTCTAGCAATTGTAGTCTTACCAATACCCGCAGGACCCTGAATTCCAATCATTTTCACTCCATCGCACTCAAGGTGTAAATAAGCGTTTACCTTTCTCAAGTGCGCTTCCATTCCCACCATCCCGTCAAAATCCTTCGATGGTGTAGCATTCAGTTTGTTTGAAACATCAGCAGCAATTTTTTCGATCATCTTAGCTTCATCTTCCCTAACAAAATAAACAAGTCTAAATTTAAAGAGACACCACCATTGAAGCACTGCTTAAGAATAATTCATTCAGACACAGAGAAAAAAAAACTACATACCAACGTAGAGAATGTTCTCCTGCTATGTTTGCGACATCAGTCAAAGCTTTGCTCCATTTCAGCCTCACCTTCTTAGTTTTGCTAAAACAAGTTTCCCGGAAAGCCCTTCCAAAATCCCCAATCTGTTTCCGAACATGGAACGGATCAATTTCGTAAAAAATCGTCATCACTATCTTCCCACAAGCTTCTCTACATTTCAATATTTCGACCAATTCATCCAAACACCAGCTCGAAGAAGCATACTTCTTTGAGAGCACCACGATCGAGACCCTCGATTCTCTTATTGCTTGTTTGAGTTCCAGTCCAATCGTCTGGCCTCTTTTGATCTCCTGATCTTTAAACACCGTGATTCCCTTGCTTGCAAAGTGATGCTGTAAATGACTGAGAAATGTTCTACGGACGTCCGGGCCATGGAAGCTCGGGAAGACATGATATCTTCTAACATGAGTCGCAGAAGAAGCCATGAGAGATAGGGTAAAGAGAAGTTGAAGAATATTTTACAGACTTGCACTGATTTTGAAACGCTCTTCGGAGGATAAAAGAGTTCTAATTTACTTATATAAACACTAAAGACATCGGGGGGAAACTTTCACAGATTTTTGAATGCTGATTGGTTGATTTTTTAGTCTTTGTATGATGACAAGCACTGGACATGAAACTTCCTCATAGCCGTGGTCTCGACTACACATTTAAAGAATAAATAAACATAACGTACTAATTAGTATTTTCAGGTATCAATGAAGAGAAAAGATGAAATAAAAGACTTTTCTTGTCTTGTGTAGTTTCTTAGAAAAGCAATCTATGAAATTCATAAAATGATTATTAGTGCTTAATATATATAAAAATTTGCAAATGGGTTTTCTTAATCATCGCGGACTTATGGAATCAATTGACTTGGTTCTATTAATTATAATATAACAAAAACTAATCAGAATGTCTGTCATTTTGACAACTGCATAAAAGTATTCTTATTGCCCACCTAACCATCCTAATTGTCAAAGAAAGGTAAGTAATAATAACCTTGATTATTGTTGTTACTTGTTACCGACAAACCTCCTGATTCTTCTTTGTCGCAATCTACACTTGTATCAAGAGATATACATTTGGTGATTTTAAAGGAAATGAGCAAGCCTTAAAACTGGAGGTTACAGAAAAAGAAAGCTCACCAGCCATGCTAATGGTTAATGGTTAAGGAGTTTCATGTAGTTATGTAAATGAAGTAGGGATGCGCACCGGTAAACCCATTCAGTTGCTACAATGCAGTGACAAACGAATTTTCTGCATGTGTCGATGCTGTGTTTTTTTTAGACGAGGAACTGCCCAAATCTCTTTGTTGAGATTTCAGCAGCTGAATATCAAACACAACAAACCAGAAAACAGTATCAAACTTCTTTTCAGTAACACATTTAAATTGATCAATACGATAGATGGAGTGCGTTGATATTTAAATGTTGAAATGAGAACCTAACCTGGATTCCTCCCCAGAGCTTACGGTCACGGAGCTCGCTGTATTGCATCTTTTCTTGGGTATTGATCCCAATGTAGTATTCCATATCCACAATGTAGAATATCTACCTAGACATCGAGGCAGATATTCCAAATTCTTTAGTTGGTATCTACAATATAGCTTTTCCACTAAATATTCTGAGGAATCAGAGATTACACATTCCTTCAAAAGCACCCTCACTTATACACAACTTCTCGACTTGGTACATATCAAATGATTCAATACTCTAACAAATATCAAGAAGAGGCAATTGTTATCACAATAAACAATAGATATTGAACATTTATAAGTGACCAGCATAAACTGCGATGAACATGGTTTAGATAGAACATGTAAAAACTTACTCGATTATTTGCTAGCACAGAACTAATCTCCTCGAACATCATTGTCTCCAAATCCTCTAGATACACAGCACTCAATAATCTGGCATTTTTCCGAGGAGGTAAATCAAATATCTCAGCTGGTAGTCATGTACTCATGGAGTTCAAGAAACTTAATTGGTTTTGAATTTTCCAGGAAAAACCAAGACTGTTTTTCAACTTGCAACAGACTCTTTTTCCTTGACAAATGATACAAATCCGTAATCCGTTGGATCTGTATAATCCCCATAACAAGCAAACTAACGCAACATGAAATCTTTTATAATCATCTTCTTTTTCTTCTTCATCAGACCAGATCCGAGAGCTACAGAGCGTTTATGCTTATTGCTTTCAACATTTACACCTCGAGAGATCTGAACAGCGTCAGGTTCATATTCACCATCTCCATGCTATTGTGGTTGCTGCTACCTACAATATCATAGTAGCCAACTTTGCTGCTACTCCTCTATGTGACTACTGCTTAGTTAAAGATATCTTACACTCCCCGGACACATGCTAAACTCTTAAGGTTACTTCCGTCTATAGAGAACCATTCAAGGCGAGACCAATGTCCAAAACTTGATGGCGGAACTTCTTCTATCTCTGTTTCTTGAAATATCCGGAAAAGGTCTCAGTTGTGAGAAATGACTCATGCAGACTGACTCAAGGGATGCTAATTAGTTGGAACAAATTTTAGCCTTTGGCACCCAGACACCATCAATCTTTTTGCATTGCATAAGTATTCAATGCTTTTAGATCAGTAGCCTTTGAAAGATCTGGACTTTTTTCAACTTACTGGATCCAAAATCTATCTCCTTAAGGGGCTGCATCAGTCAAACACAAGAAATGAAAAATATCAGATTTCAGCTAAATGATTAGAAACATATTCGCAAATAACAAATACCAACCTAGATTCCTTCCCAGAGTTTCTCTGGGATTGCTCATTTGCAGACTGATTTCGACGAGACATTCTGACCAAACAAAAATGGTTCTTTAGCAAACTACCTCTAACTGCGCTACATCATCAAGAATGATAAGGCAGTCTTTGATATTGTAGCCATGTCCCTTAGGTTAACAGAAGTGAACTTTGTAAACACAAGTTGGAATCATAGACATCAACACCAACTATGATCTTATAACTTCCCTGGAGTTTCCCCATTAAGCATTTATAATCGAAAATGGTAGTGGCACCAATTCCTGCAGGACGCCAAAAAAATTCCAACCATCTACATAACAAAGACTTCACATTTTTCTCAAGAGTGAGCTCTTTGCAGTTGCACCATGCCGTAGAAATCCATTGAAAAACTGTCATCACTATCAGCCCCAAACCTTCTTTGCACTTGACGATTTCGACCAACTCATCTAAGCACCAGCGGGAAGAAGCGTACTTCTTCGGGAGCACCAAAATCGAGACACTCGATTCTCTAATCGCAGGTCCGATCATTAATCGTCGTGATCCCTTCGCTTGCCGAGATTGTTCTTGCAACGAGGCAGCGGAGATGGTGCCACAAATTAGGGATTCTCTACTTTGACTGGTTTGGTCTCATGAGATTTTACAAGAAGTCTGCTCTGTCTTATTCAACTTCTTCTTTCTCAGACCATGCTTCGTAAACCAACTCCAACATCCTGTATGTTTTACTGGTTTTGGTGCTTTCAACTTGAGAGACCTTAGAAGCTTCTGCTTTGTAGTCTCTATTTCCATCTCCATCTGTGTAGTGGTTGCTGTTGCCTCCACTTTCGTAATAGTCCACACGGTTGCTACTGCTCTCAGTTTCAAAGTTGTCCATTTTGCTGCTGCTGCTGCTATCCTCAGCTTCCTCCATCGATATCTGTACACCACAGTCAATCATATGTACCCACTGTTAATACGTCCTCAATTTTGCTATCAAGAGTAGTTTCGATCCTAGATAATTGAAGTTTCCACTCATGCTTGCTCTCCCCACGCAAAGATAAATCCACAACATAAAGGCCTAATGGAAGATTACCGCAAAGCTCTGCTACTTTCTTTGTAAGCTCTTCAAAGCCATCCTGTGGGGAACTTTGTGTGAAAGCAGATAGACAGAAGATCGTAAGTAAGGCTTCTTCTTTGGATGGAAAATTCCCGCAGGACCATAAACTCCAATCATCTTCACTCCATCGCACTCAAGGCATAACAAAGAGTTCAAGTGAGCAAAACGCGTAAAGAAATTTGTAAATGTACAGAGAAATTCAAAGACATATTCCTCTTCGAACACCAATGGCTTCTTATATCGGTAAATCGGAACTTGATTTTGTAGAGATTGCAGCTGAAATGAGCTCAGAGCTGAATACATGAGAAGATCGGAGATTAGTGGGGAGGAAGAAGAAGATAAGCAAAAAATTTCAAATTAGGGATCTAATTTTAAACCTATCATCCCAATCCAATTGTAATCCTAAACTAAACCGGAGATCATTTTAAATATTGGGCTGGGCCCATAACTTGTTGGTGTTTCCCACTTCACTACTACTCGCAGCTTCATCCCTCAAGATATGCACACCGCATTCCATAACTTGCTGGCTTCCATCGCAGCTGAATTCAAACAGAATCTCGCTCATAGTCCCATCCACTTCAGGGGATCTCTTTTCTTTATACAATTCACCGCGAAATATGAGCAGATGTTCTGTTACAAATTCAGGCCATTGTGGTGATGGCCATGGCCCACATACAAATTCGTTAATCTGGACACCGCCTTTGCTTCTTATACAGCAAGTTATAACAAGATACGCATGCACTTTGGTTGGCGGAAGCAAGAGGCAAGCCTCAAATCTTGAACGTGCACCAACCAGAGGGGTGGTTATGGAGTTTCCTATAGCTTTGTGAGTGAACTCCGCAGGTACTTCTTTACCGGGTAAGCATACATCCCAGTCACCTCTTTGGTGTATGATTGCTCGCCTTGCTTCTTCATCCAGTTTCAAACAGTTGTAGAACCTGAGATCCTTGATTGGATCTTGGAAAGAGCAACACACTCTCTCGAGTGATACACAATTTTTTGCATTTAGGGACACAAGCGAAGGTGGGAGACTCGTAAGTGACACAAGTTTTGTGCAGCTTTCAACAATAAGAGATTGTAGCTGTTGAAGGCCTAGAACGCAGTCTGGAATCTTCTCTATACCACTATGGCTTATGTCTAACTTTTTTAAACTTACTGGGACATGTGTTAATCTCTCGAGGCTTCTACCGCCTATAAAAAGCTCTTCAAGACAAGACAAGCGTCTGAATGATGATGGAGAACCCTTTTCTATTTGAGTACTTACTACATTGAGCTTCTTGATGTTCCTAGATATATCCGGAAAACTTCTCAATAGCGAGCAAAAACTCATGTCGACTTCCTCGAGAGACGCTAAGTTGATGTTGGTTGGAATTACCTTTAGCTTTTCGCATGATGACACATTCAGCTTTTTTAGTTTTTGTAGGTTGGAAATAGAAGAGGGAAGCTTCACCAAACTTGTGCAGTAACTAAGTGTCAATATCTTGAGTTTAGAAGCATTCGAAAGATCAGGGATTTCTTTCAACTTATAGGAAAAACTCAAATCTATCTCCTTAAGATTTTTAAGGGGCTGCATTTGTCAAACACAAACAAATGAGAAATATCATATTAGTAAGTCAAAACATAATTTAGACATATCAAATGCTAACCTGGATTCCTTCCCAGAGCTTCTCAAGCTTGCTGAATTTCATATGGAGCTCGATGAGATATTCTGGCTGAAATGTTGGAGGAAGACGTTTTCCTGGGTATGCATACCAATCCAGTAACCTTAGACGAGGTAGATAATCTATGTCTTCTAGTATACGCAAACTAACATTTCCAGGACAAAAGTCAGCCTTATAAAATCTTAAGAACTTCAGATTACGCATTCCTTCAAAAGCTCGCTTGCTTATAGATAACTTGACATTTTTGGACATATCAAATGATATACCTATGACAGATCCAGTACCCTACAAATATTGCAAAAGAAGAATAATGAAACGTTTTATCACTAAAGCATTAGGCAATCTCTAGATAAAATAATATGTAAGAACTTACTGTTTCATTTTCCAGTACATCACGAATCTCTTCAGCCTCTACTAAAAACTGACGCTTGCCCGGCTCGTCAGACTGTTCAATAACTATTTGTCTACCCAATTGTTCAAGTAAACGATGCATCTCTATCCACCAGCAGATAGAGATCAGAGATTTCTCCACAAGGGTCTTCAAACCATTACTTACATCCAAGTTACTGTCAGCTAGCAAGGTAGTCACATGATCAAACTTCTTACTGTTAAAGAAGCATGCAATGTGAAGAAAGAGAGATTGATCTTTCTTCGACAATTTGTCATATCCCACTCTTAGTACGTCTTCAATTTTTCTATCAAGACTTGTTCCAATCCTAGATAACTGAAGTTCCCACTCGTGCTTGCTCTCCCCACGCAAAGATGAACCCACAACAGAAAGGCCTAATGGAAGATAACCGCAAAACTCAACTATTTTATTTGCAAGCTCCATAAAACCATCTCGTACAGTGCTTTGTTTGAAAGCAGATAGACATAAGATCTCAAGAGCTTCTTCCTCGGATGGAAAATCCACAAGGTAAAACCTGTCGACCCAATGTGCCTTCAAAATCTTTTTATCTTCTGTGGTAACGATAATCCGACTTCCGGAACCAAACCAAGAAGGTTCTTTAGCCAAGGCCTCTAGTTTCTCTATATCATCTACATCATCAAGAATGATAAGTACTCTTTGATCTTGTAGCCATTCTTTTATCGCACCTAAATTATGTACCCTCATATCCCTTTGGCCCAAAATCTTAGACAGAAGTTGGTTTTGCAAACACAACTTTGAATCATAATCATCCATACCCACTACGCTCTTATATTTTCCCTTGAGATTCCCCATAAAACATATAAATCTAAAACTGGTAGAGAGTTGGTTGAACAAAGTTCTAGCAATGGTAGTTTTACCAATTCCCGCAGGACCCCAAATGCCAATCATCTTCACTTCATCGCACTCAAGGCATAACAAAGAGTTCAATTTTCTCAAGTGAGTTTCCATCCCTACCATGCCGTCAAAATCCCTTGACAATGTAAGATTCAGTTTGTTCGAAACATCCGTGGCAAACTTTTGGACCATAGCCGCTTCATTATCCCTAACAAATGCATATTGGAGGGTTTTAATTTACAGAAATTTCACCGTTGAAGCATTGAACAAGACAGATTAAAACGTTGTAACTCATTGATTCCAAAAGAAACAACGTACCAGTTTAGTAAGTGTTCCCCAGCTATGGTTGCTACATGTGCCAAAGCTTGGATCCATCTCTGCTTCACTTCCTCAGTCTTCCCTTCACAAGTTCTCTTGAAATCTCTTCCGAAATCACCGCTCTGTTTCCGTACATCAGACGTGTCGATTTCGTAAAAAATAGTCATCACAATCTGCCCCTGATCTTCTTTGCATCTCAAGATTTCAACCAATTCATCTAAACACCAGCTTGAAGAACCGTAACTCTTCGAGAGCACCACAACCGAGATTCTCGATTCTCTAATCGCTTGTACGAGCTCAGGTCCGATCGTCTGGCCTCTCTCGATCTCCTGATCCTTGAACGTCGTGATTCCCTTGCTTGTAAAGTGATTGTGTAAATGACTGAGAAATCCTCTGCGGACATCTGGACCGTGGAAACTTGGAAAGACATGGTATCTCCTAATGTGAAACGAAGAAGAAGCCATGAGAGTTTGGCTAAAAGAGAGGTTGAAGAAGGTAGTGGCTATGGAATATGGATAAACTATATACGAAGCAATACGCGTAAAGACAGAGAAATTTCAAGGAAATTTATACAGCAAAATGCAAAAAGTAGTTCCCCAAAGTCGTTGAGGACCCATAAGGGTTTCTTAAAGCAACATCAATGGTTGAATCCTTAAAAAAATTCTTAAACTCTTTTTAATCATAAATAATGATAATTTTAAAGTTAAGAATTTGTGATGAATTATTAAAAATTTCTTTGTCCAATGGTAAAGTCCTTAAGTGGGTTTCTTAAGAAAATAGAAAAAATAAAATGAAAATTATAAATATTTTTATTTGATAAAACTTAATAAATATTACCATTTTCTAAAAAATTTAAACATACAAGACATAAAAACATATAAAAAGTACAAATAAAAAAACAATTTTTTGCCATATACGATTAACAAAATCAGCTTTTAATTGTTGATGCATAGTCCTATCACGAACTCGAGTTCGAATGTCCATCATATTTCTGAAATTTGAAAGCATATTTTATTTTGTCTTTTATTAATATTTTTGACCCAATCAGAAAGCGACACATATGAGACTCTTAACAATCCTTAAACCTCTTAACAATCCTTATATTAGAGCCAACTCTTAACAATCCTTAACTTTATTTATTATATTTATTTATTTTAATTACTTTTAATTTTAAGGATTTTTTTAAGAAACCCATAAGAAACACCATTGGGGGTGCTCTTACTAGTCATCAAGGACCCATATATCCTACTTTTTGATTGGTATATTGGAATTTGATTTTTTAAAGCTTGTTAATATAATTTTTTTTGAAAATGTGAGATGGTGGAAGCCTTTTGCTCCATTAGTTGACCAAGGGTTGATTAATGCTTCTACACTAAGAGGTCTGGGTTCGAGTCCCAGATATTGCGATTTATTAACAAATTTGCAGATTAATAGAGGTAAGTGTGCAGGAGATTTCCAGCGATGTACAATTATAGCCGTGCGCCAGGATTCTACGCAGAGAAAGAAGTGTCGCCAGGTCGTGGATCATTGAAAGGTATTCATCAAGACCATGAAGAAGGAAGTGTAGTCTGTCGTGGATCTACTAAGGGTCGGCAGAAATTGTCAGTTGTAGAATCGTCTATGTAACAGTTCTCATAATTTGCAATTAATAATAAATCTAGACGACAAAAAAAAAAAATGTGAGATGAGAACTTTTGTATTTTATAAAAAAATTTTCATAGTCTAATGGTAGGTTCTCTAGTAGGGTTCTCTTAGGAAAAAAAAAATTATTAAAAATTTTATTTCATAAAACTTAATAATTATTGTAATTTATAAAAATATTAAACATACATTATTTTCAAACATTTAAAAAAAGATTTGCAAAAACAAAACCGGAATAACGATTAGTTGTACTGTTGATTGTTGCAAAATTTTTGCCATATATGCTCAACCAAATCAAATTTTAATTGTTGATGCATATCACGATCACAAACTCTATATAAGCATCAACTATGGGAGAGCTAAGTTTTTTTCTCCTGTCATAAAGTTTTCCAAACATGCACATGCAAGTGTCGAAAGTTTTTCTCAGGTAACACAATAAACTATGTTTAGAAATCACTAAGTATTTTTGATTCGAAAATGAGATATCGTTTAGGACAAGCAGAGAAACAATGATGAAAAGTGTTTTGTGCAAAAAAATGCACAAAGGTGATAAACACTTTTTTGTTGTTTTTTTTATTTTGTTTAAGATGAGACTCTTGAAACCCAAACATACAAAGAAAGAGGTACCTCAAGTTTCAAAAATTCTTTAAAAGAAACAAAGACAAATCTTCCTACTCATTCTTGAGCATCACTACTTGCGTCCATTGGCTCAGCCTCTGTTGAAACCTCTCTTTTCTCTCCTGCTTTCTTGGCTGCAAAACACCAAATTGAATCTTTTTAGTCAACATGTGGATCTCATTATATAAGGTCAAAGTCTGGAAATTTATTTCTAAGTTCTTACCTTTCTTCTTCTTGATACCCAAGGCTAACCACCCTATGATCTCAGGGTCTTCACTGGTCTTAGTATCAAGCTCCTGAAGTGTATGTGAAGTGATCCTATCCGATCCATTTGGCATCAGCAAAACTGTGAACTTAATCTGGGCAACAAAATCCCCTGAAAAATGACATGAGTCATGATGTCAAGATCCAGATAAAAGAGTTCTATAGATTAAAAAAAAAACCTTCATCCTCCTTACCAGGCTTCTCGTAAAGAACAGGATATGGTTGCTAATGACTGCAAAAAAAACCTTCATCCTCCTTCATTCTTCTAAGCGAAACTAGATGAAACAGTTGACTTATAAGTTAGAGTGGCTAGCTTGAGGGTGCAGAAACAGATATCCTAAACAGCTTCGTTGTCCAAAACCATATAAGTTCATTGACAGAAAGAAAGATCACTACAAATTCCATAGAATATAAAAAATCAAAATGCCAGACAAAAAGACAATCCCATTCACGTATTGAATAATCTAAGAACCAATTACATTCTTACCAAAACAAGATTAGCTCTTATTAAGGAAACTGATATTGAAGAACTCAAAATCACCAAACCATCTTTCATAAATCTAAATTGATCAAAGATAGTTTGAAATTGATTACCTCGAAGGATATTTGCAAGTTCCCTGACCTGAAAACACACACAATGGTGGAAGATTACTTCAAAAAGATGCACAAATGTATCAAATCTGAATCTAAAACAAGAGATCATCATTATAATCCTGATTCCACTACCCTAACAGATATAAGATTTCGATTTTAGAAGAAAGATTTTACTGGGATTGAGTGAAGTAAGAGCAGCGTTATTGTTGAAATTGCAAGCCTCGTCCTCTTCGCCGTTCTTCACAGAATAATTGTTGAAAACAAACGACGCCATTTTCTAAACATCCGTCGGGTCGTTACAAGGTTCACCTTGCTGAATCGGACCACAATCAGCGCCGCCTTGTCCACAAGCCCACTCAATCGCCGTCTGTAGCGACGAATCAACCGCGTTGTTCTTCGCCACACACCATAACCGCGTCGCGTCGATCGGCTTCGCGAGAGAGAGAGAAACAATCGGGTTTGTTTTTTTTACACAAGACTTTTTTTTTTTTGTTTTGTTAAAAATAATGCTCCAATCAGAGATCGCCACGTGTACGGTTCTCTCAATTGCCCAAATCTCTCTGAAGAGAGACGATTCTCTCATTTTAGATATGTTTTTATTTATATTTTTGCCAAATGAACAAGAGAACCGATCACAAATATTTCAGAGAATCTCCCTTTTGAGATGCTCTTAGTGTGTTACCATATCCATAATACTAAGACCCATGACTTGAAAATTGATCAAATTCCATCAACTTATGGACTAGCTTGGAAATGATCCACTCTATACGCTACTGCATGAAACAATACCCAAGCTTAAGAATGAGGGGGAACATTTCAAAAAGAATAACCTCGATATTTCTAAGGCTAATGTCCAGAATTAGTAATCCATCAAGCCTTTACAGATGAAAAGCATAAATATTTTCACATATATATATATATATATATATATATATATATAAGTAACAGACTAGTAATATCTAGGATCATATATTCCTATCTCTCTAAAAATTTAACAATATAATGGAAGTTATATCTTCTTCCCCTGACCGAATCCTACAACCTAAGTTGTAGGTTTTGTATTCTTCTTCTACCCAAACTAAATCCAACAACCTATGATGTTTTCATCTTTACTATGAGGCTCATAATCTCCATCTCCATCTGATATTTTACGAGATAGTACCTTATGAAGATGGTGAAGGAGCTAAGAAAGTACCAAAACTGGTTTGGTCTCATGAGACTCCACGAGAATTCTGCTCTTTCGTATTCATCTTCTTCTCTTTCAGACCAAGCTTCCTAACCCAAATCCTAAAACCTATGTTTACTGGTTTTGATATTTTCAACTTGAGAGAACTTGAAACCTTCTGCTTCATAGTCTCCATCACCATCTCCACCTTCGCTGCTGCTGCTAGCCTGCTACTCTCAGTTTCATAGTTGTCCACTTGGCTTCTGCTAATTTCAGTTTCAAAGTTGTCCAATTCGCTGCTGCTGCTACCCTCAGCTTCCTCTGTCATGATTTGTACACCACACTCAATAATCTTGTCTATGGAGCTGAACTCCAATATAATCTCACTCATAGTCACATCCACTTTATGCCATCTGTATCGTTGGCCAAACAAGTCATCAAATATAAACAGATGTTCTGACCGAGGAGCCATATCTGAAAGCCGTACTGAATTGCAGTTGTAATCTGTAACACCACCTTTGCTTCTTAGACTACAACTTATATAAAGATATCCTTGGTAGCCCATAGTTGGTGAAATCAGAAAGCAAGCCTTAAACCTTGAGGAAGCAGAGAGAGTACCCGTAGCCAGAGGGATAGTTATGGATTTCCCTGTAGCTTTCTGAGTGAACTCTGCAGGGATTTTTTTGCCTGGTAAGCATATGTAATCGTGAATTGATTGTTGTGTGATTCCTCTTCTTGCTTCTTCATCCAGTTTCAAACAGTTGTAGAATGTGAGTATCTTGGTTGGGTTATGGAAATAGAAACATACTCTCTCGAGTGATACACATTCGTTTGCATTTAGGGACTTGAGCGACGGGGGAAGAGCCGGAATTGTCACGAGCTTTTGGCAGTTTTCGACGATAAGTTCTTTTAGATGCGGGAGACTTATGACGCAATCTGGAATCCTCTTTATATTGCTGTTGCTAAGATCTAGCCAAGTTATACTATGTGGGGCATGTGTTAATCTATTGAGGCTTCTGCTGCCAATCTCAAGGCAGTCAAGACGAGACCAACATCCAGCAACTGATGGAGGGACATCTTCTATCTTTGTATTTCCGACACCAAGAGTCTTAATGTTACTGGAGATATCTGGAAAACTACTCAATTGCGAGCAATAATTCATGTCGACTTCCTCAAGAGATGCTAAGTTAATGTTGGTGGGAATAACTCTTAGCTTTTCGCAAACCCTCATCTTCAACTTACTCAGTTTGTGTAAATTCGAAATAGAGAAGGGAAGCTCTGTCAAACTTGTGCACCTCACAAGTGTCAATGTCTCGAGATTAGTAGCATTTGAAAGATTTGGGATTTCTTTCAATCTAGAGGAAAAGCTAAGATCTATGCTCTTGAGGTTAGGAAGGGGCTGCATGTTAAACACAACAAATGAGAAAATATTTCTTACATTTAGATTGAATCATTTGAAGCACTAGAAAGAATAATCAAATAAATACCAACCTTGATTCCTCCCTCGAGATTGCTGTGTGGCATATGGAGTTCCACGAGACGTTCCGGCTGGAATCTCAGAGGAAGACGACTTTTTCTTGGGTAATGTTCCCAATGTAGTAACTTAAGATTCTCGGGTAGATACTTCATAGATTTTGGTATTTGCAAAGTACCTTCACCACCAAACAAACTACTATAGATTCTTAGGAACTGGAGATTACACATTCCTTCAAAAGCACCCTTACTTACAGAAACTTTTCCGATCTTGGATGTATCAAATGATATACCTATGACTGATCCAGTACCCTACCAATATTGCCAAAGAAGACTGATGAGATTATTTTATCACTAAAAATCAATACGCAATATCTATGAAAATATATATATGTAAGAACTTAAACTTACTGTTTTGTTTGTCAGTACATCACGAATCTCGGCGGCCTCAATTAAAAATTGACGCTCAAGAACTATCTGTCTACCCAGTTTTTGTAGTAGATAGTGGTGCATCACTATACGCCCATCGGTAGATATATGCACGAGAGATTTATCGGCTAGGAGCTTTAACCCATTTCCAACATCCAAGTTACTGTCAGAAAGCATAGATATCACATGACCAAAACGACTTCATTGTTGAAGAAGCATGCAATGTGAAGGAATAGAGATTGATCTTTCTCTGACAATCTGTCATATCCCACTTTTAAAATGGTCTCGATTTTTCCATCAAGACTAGCTTTGATCCTAGATAATTGAAGTTCCCACTCGTATTTGGTCTCACCATGCAGAGATGAACCCACAACACAAAGGGCTAATGGAAGTTTACCGCAAAACGCAGCTACTTTATTGGCGAGCTCTTCAAAACCATATGGTACAGAGCTTTGTTTGAATGCAGATCGACATAAGATCTCAAGAGCTTCTTTCTCGGATGGATAATCCACATGGTAGATATCCTGAATCCCATGTGCCTTCAAAATCTTATTATCTTCTGTGGTAACGATGATCCGACTTCCAGAACCAAACCAAGAAAGTTCTTTAGCCAAGGCCTCTAATTGCTCTAGATCATCTACATCATCAAGAATGATAAGCACTCTTTGATCTTGTAGCCATTCTTTTATTGCACCTAAATCATATGTCTTCATATCCTCCTGGTTCAAAATCTTAGACAGAAGTTGGGTTTGCAGAGACAATTTGGAATAATAATCATCAACATCCATTACGCTCTTAAAACTTCCCTTGAGGTTGTCCATAAAACAATTAAGCTGAAAACTACTAGAGAGTCTGTTGAATAAAGCTCTAGCAATGGTAGTCTTACCAATCCCTGCAAGACCCCAAATACCAATCATCTTTGGCTTTGCATCATCACAACCGAGCCATAACAAAGAGTGCAGTTTTGTCAAGTGAGCTTCAAGTCCCACCATCCCGTCAAAATCCCTCAACGGTGTAAGATTGAGTTTGTTTGAAACATCTGTAGCAATCTTTTGGATCATCTCTGTTTCATTAGGCCTAGCGAAAGCAAAACAAAATCGCTTTGGTTGGTCTAAATTACAAAAAAAAAAAAATGAATTATTGCTTGAGGTAGATAAAACCATAAATTCATTGAGACATACCAATGAAGAGAATGTTCCCCAGCAATGGTTGCAACATGTGCCAAAGCATTGCTCCATCTCAGCTTCACCTCCTCCGGTTTCCCTTGACAAGTTATCTCAAAAGCGCTCCCGAAGTCTCCCCTCTGTTTCCGTACATCGGACGGATCAACTTGGTAAAAAATGGTCAACACAATCTGCCCATCATCTTCTTTGCACTTCAAGATTTCAAGCAGTTCATCTAAACACCAGCTGGAAGAAGCGTACCTCTTCGAGAGCACCACAATCGAGACTCTAGATTCTCTAATCGCTCGTACGAGCTCAGGTCCGATCGTATGGCCTCTCTCGATCTTCTGATCATTGAACGTCATGATACCTTTGCTTGCAAAATGATAGTGCAAATGACTGAGAAACCCTCTACGGACATCTTCACCGTGGAAGCTCGGAAAGACATGGTATCTCCTTATGTGAAACGAAGAAGAAGAAGAAGAAGAAGCCATAAGAGCTCACAATGCTTGAACTTGAATGTATTGAAGCAAGAGAAATTTCAAGATATTGGAATGTAATTTGTACTGAAATATACCAATTAGAGGAGAAAATTCAAAGGACCAATGGCTTTTTTTCGTACAGATTGTCATTTTCCCGTGAAATGAGGTCAGAATTGAAGTAGCAGAGTCAAGTTGGAAGAAGACGACGAATTAGGAAGTTTCTATTTAGGGGGTTCTGTTCTCAACCACATTTTAATTCTTTGTTAATTTGGTTTGAAAAGTATTCCGGGTCTTTAATTTGTCTTAAATTGAACAATAATATCGAATTGACCTGTTTAAGACTGATATTGGGCCCGTAACTTTCTCAACACATGCGGTTTAGCCTTGCATATGATACTCTTCGATTTGAAATATGTACATACACAATTTCTCTACATGAACTGCTCTTATCTTTCTTTCTTTCTTTCTCTACATTGAAAATGCTAATAAGAACTCATACACAATGACCATTATCATAGGCTCACCAGGGTAAGTTTTTTATAAGCCCTGAGTAGAAGATGAAGAAGACGCGGCGCGGAAATGCTTGTTCACGTGCTCGGCTGCCAGATGATCTGTAGCCGGTCTCTTTGGTCTTAACTGCAAATGAAAAATTTGACAAAAAAAAACATAAAGATTTTGGATAATTCACAACCAAAAATCAACAGATTTGTTATCTGAAGAAGTTCAAGATTTGTTCTATATCGTTTTCTTTTGTCTATTTTCCTACGAACTATATATACGAGGGAAACAACGGTGATTTGAATCAAAGAATCACAAACTATGAGGAATGAGAGTTGTTTTACCTTTTCTTCAGCTCGTTGATAGAAGCTGCGTATAAGTATGTTTTTCACTTCTGTAGTTATCACTACAACCAAAACAAACAAAAACATAGACGTGACCCGTGAAAATTGGAGACTGTTGAATCCGATTAACAACAATTTGCCTAGAGATTCTAAGAAGTGATCCATGGTAAAGACAGTAACTAGATTGCTCAATCAAAGCAAGTTCAAGATCAGTCTCTAGCCAAGATCACAACTTTAAAAGGCCAATTTTAGACTACAAAATGTAACAAAGTTCTAAAATCTCTAGCCGAAGAACACGCAAGATTTAAAATAAATAAAAAACTGCAATTTTGTTTCACCTTGATCTGGTGGTGGAAGTGTACGATTGTGAGTAGGACGATAGGTGGTAGGAACCATCCTCTGCAAGAAAACATGAACAAAACTCAAATCTTCGATAACTGATCAAAAATATAATCTTTAACTGAGACAAGCTAATTGGAATTTGCAAGAAAAATGAAAACTTGCATACTCCTTAGTCACTTAGCAGCTAAATTAAGGCCAATGGGAACCAATTGGGAACAGAATTATGATTCTAAGATCAATAAATCTGTCAAAAATGGCTACTTTTTGTCTAGGTTTCTCACAAGATCCAACAGCAAAATCGATGAAAACATGGAACTTTTGGATCAGATCAAGTAAACAAGCAAACCTAGATACACATTCGAATTACTTTCTCATTGAACAATTTGAATTATCAAAATTGGATCAACATTTTTTTCAATACGACCAAAGTAAACCGAACTCAGATCTGTATAAAAAGAGTTCTCATACGAATTCAGACAAAACAGAATCAGAAGACATCTGAAATTTTCATCCGAGAGTTGAAGAATTGGAAGAAAGAAAAAATCGAAGATGAGAATTGGGGAAGAAACTAACAGAGGGATTAGAAGGATCGGAGGGACGATGTTGACTGAAATTGTGAGGATCGAAGGAAGGTAAATCCCCCAGAATCGACGCCATTGGAATCGTCCGTGATCTTTCTTCTCCTCAGAGTTCGCGAGAGAGGAGATAAAGAGAGAAACAAAAGGGTTTATGGGCCATTGGGCCTAACTCTAGAACCAGCTTTAACTTATATTAAGGGTTTCTCAACCTAAATATTGAAAAAAAAATGTGGTGCATAAGAATAGGTTTAGAGTGGAAGCTTTTTTGGCTCATTGGTTGACTAAGGGTTAATTAATGCATTCTACACCATGGAGTTCGAGTCCCATATACTGCGATTTATTAACAAATTTGCAGATTAATAGAGGCAAGTGTGCAGGAGATCTCCAGCGATGTACAATTATAGCCGTTCGCCAGGATTCTACGCAGAGAGGGAAGTGTCGTCAGGTCGTGATCATTGAAGGTGTCCATCAAGAGCATGAAGAAGGAAATGTCGTATGTGTGAATCTAATAAGGGTCGGAAGGAATTGTCCGTTGTAGAATCGTCTATGTAACAGTTCTCATAATTTGCAATAAATAATAAATCCAAACGACAAAAAAAAAAATAGGTTTAGAAAATTAAGTGGCTAGTTATAACAACAAATTTTACCTATTGAATCAATAAATTTTATAATTAAGCTTATTTGGTTGGAATGGTTTTAAGATAAATGATTTATTAAAAAGTGATTTTCGAATTTGTTTGAGTGAAGACAAAACAAGAAAATGATCTCGTAAAACTTTATATGGCCAATCAAAAAGTATTTCGAGATTCCTAGAAATGCTTAAGCTCGACCAAATTTCCCAATTAATAACCTTCCATCTTCCTTTGATGCCACCAAAACTGAAAACATTTATCTTTCAATTTTATAATTTTTTTTTCCTAATAAAAAGATGAGGAAGGAAAAAAAAACACATGCATTCATCTTCGCATATAAAGTAAGTCTTACAGTGAGGTTTATGTTAATTTACATATGTAGCATTCATTATAGGTCAAGGGAAACTTCCACGTGTTTACATATAGAGTAAAAGAAGCTTAACTTATTTTGGGAGTCAAATAAGATTCTTAACCACTACAACCATAATAACATGATTAAGTTGAATTAGTCGTCGTTTATTCGTATTTAGAGTGCCACTTTAATTGTATGAGAGATAAGTAAAAAAAAACTAATTAAAAGGCTATAGTTTATGATATCGGGTATCATTTAGATGGTTTAGTTTTATCTATTCATTTAAAGATTAACCAAAATATTAGATAAAGTTAAATTTAAAAAATTGTATTTGTCATGGATTACTTTCGACTTAACCATAGTGATCATTTACATTTACATGTTAAGATGTGTTGCTTTATTCATGTATATTTACGTTTTGAGACAGACAGAAATTGATGATTTTTTAGATGAGATCAGTAGCATCAAATGGATATCCGATTCTTGTTTGGTTTAATCCGAAACGAACGAGAGCCAATGTAATTATTTATCTTCATCTTCTATAGGACAAATCATTCTACTTACCAAGTTACATTGATTATTTGACTCTAAATTCGACCTGAACATCCCATTTATGGTGTATGTATGCAATGTCAACTACACCTTTAAGTACTAGCATTTCAATTAAATTGATAGGATTCAATGGTTTACTAGTATATAGTGAGAGTATATATGATCTTACAGTATAATTTACTCATGTGTACGAAAGAAAAAAACAAAAACAAAAGTCACTTGAAATTAGTTTTTTTTTTTACATAGTTTAATCAAGTACAATTTGACGATCTTTCAAACTTTTAATTAACATATATATCCATATGAGTTAGGACTTAAAACACTAATTAATTCTAATTACTTAAAGATATTTTAGGTACGTATATCGAGTAGTATTGTCATTGAAAATTTACTTCATCATGACGACACATATATGTTATACCAAGCCAATACAATCTCTCATATAAAAAAGAAGAAGAAGAAAAAAAGAGATAGGAAAAATGAGGGAGATAATAATAAAAGTTTAATGACACAAGGAAACTAAATGGAAGTAAAAAGCAGTTGAACAGAAAATTAGGTGAACTTAGTTGGCCTCAATGCCCTTTTACCCTTACTTCTTCTTCTTCTCCTCTTATTCTTCACAATCTATCATTACACATCTATAAATATAGTGAAAGATAGAGAGATAAAGAGACTTATAACAATGGAAAGAGAAGACATAAATCATATGTTAAGCCTAGATGTCGAAAACAACAACACCTTCTCTGCCTTTGTAGACAAAACCCTAATGATGATGCCTCCGTTAACATTTTCCGGCGAAGTAGAGCCTTCCTCTTCTTCTTCTTGGTATCCAGAAAGCTTTCATGTGCATGTGCCGCCACCGGCACCTGAGAATGATCAAATAGGAGAGAAAGGGAAGAAGAAAGAGAAAGAGAAGAGATCGAGGAAAGTTCCAAGGATTGCGTTTCAAACGAGGAGTGATGATGATGTTCTTGATGATGGTTATCGTTGGCGAAAATATGGCCAGAAATCTGTCAAGCACAATGCTCATCCCAGGTACTTTTACCCACCATATGCTTGTATAGTTGTATTACTTAGTGTGTATATACGTGAATCTATGACATCATATTAAAATTGATTTCCAAATATGGATCGACCAAAAACTTTCATGGCTACAAAACATTTGTTAGCTTAACAACCAGCACGTACGATCTAGTCTTGTGTTTCACACTAAAGAATATATACATAGTCTATAAAAAATGTATCTTTTAGTTGCAAAATTGCCATAATTTTTTGGTTTAGATAGGAATAGTTGTAACGAAATCAACCTCTCTTTCTAATTAAGCCTAAGATCTGTCGTATTATTGGAAAATTTATGATGTGATAATTTTCGAAAACAAAGCATGAACTATGATTTTAAAAAATGATAATCCTATATTATCTTTTTTTTTATATATATATGTATAATTTGATTATCCTAGATATAGTTAATATGCAATTATATAATTTTACAAAAATGTATAAACCTGATATAGGGATTCTCTTAATGTGCTACCAAATCCGAGTATGAATTGTTTGGAAAGGGATGATTGACTCTATGTGAATCCATCAATATTCTTGTCAAGAAAATGATCTTAATTAGTTCAAGAAAAACTATGTATCAGTATAAAAAATATAGTTTCTTATGGGCTTACGTCTCATATATATGAAGGCTTCATCGAAATGAAAAAAGTGATTTGTGGAGGAACCAAAGTCTAGATCATGTAAATCCGAAACCTCTTCATTTTATAAGTTATTTACTCTTTTAGCATAAAATAATATATAGTTTCATAAAAAAAAAAATAATAAATAAATAAAAATATAGTTTCATGACATTTCGTAAGAGTTATTCATGAAGATGAAAATCAGTCTTATACATAGACACCCAAAACTTCCGACTTATTTTTCATATGAATTAAGATTTTAAAAAAGAAGAAAAAAGAATAGATCAAACTATTAATTAATCTTGTTTCACAAAATGCAGGAGCTATTACAGATGTACGTACCACACATGCAACGTGAAGAAACAAGTGCAGAGATTGGCAAAAGATCCAAACGTCGTCGTAACGACCTACGAAGGCATTCATAACCATCCTTGTGAGAAGCTCATGGAGACTCTTAATCCTCTCCTCAGGCAACTTCAGTTCCTCTCCAGTTTCTCTAATCTCTGACGACTAATTATGTTAATTAATGCATGCACGGTGTAATTACTTAAAGCTGATTAAGGTGTTAATCACTCCACTTACCCACATCTCCCAAGAGACAAGACACAAGTGTATAGAATAGATTTGAAACGAATGTAACAGTTACGACATTTTACAAATGTTTATTTATGCCTTGAATTTTCATATTTTATCCGTCTTTTTTTTTGGGAATGTGTGTTGAATTTAAGCTTTGATTAGGCATATTGATTATTAACGTCAAAATCTGAGTCTTAATAATGTGACAAAAATTAATGCGCGATTCTAAAACAATTCACATTTTATGTTTCGATCGTTTTCTAAAATTACTACTTAAATCTTGAATGGTTTCTAATAAATTACGAAGGGTTTTAAATGATTTAACAAACCTTCAAAACGTATAGGAACCTTCCTAAACCCAAATTTTATAGTACTGTTAGAAATTTTTCTAAGCTATAGTATTTTTAATTTTGTGGTACTTTTTAAAAGAAAATTATATATCTATTCCAAAACAAAAGGGTTATAGAAGAAATGGAACCTTCTCAACCAATTTGATCGAACCCATACCAACAATTCTTTATAACTCATGAGTCCAATAAAACCATAAACCAAACTGTTGGTTTAGATCGGTTTGCGCCAATGATTATGAAATTTTGATCGTCACTACAAGTTAACAGCAAGCTAAATACAAAGTAAACTCTGTTCATGCCCGTGGGAAATTACTAAGTTTATTAAGTTAAGTGTTGTGTCCTACCTCCTAAGTACCAACTTCTCCTTGTTCTAGCCTCTCAAGTTCTCCATGAAGATGTCGGTCCAGTAGGCCTTACAGAGCCAGGAGGTGCGGGCACCGGATTGTTTTGGTTTCCTAAAACTGTCTCGGTTCTATAGGCAGCCGTTGAAAAAGGTGACTGAGCTTGAGACGTTTGAACCGATGGTGTCTGAACCGGCTGTGAACTGTTAAGCCTTGTGGAAGTTTGAGACTGTTGGGTAGGTCGGATTATCATGTGGTCAAGAGCAGTGGAATGAGAACCGGACCCAAGACTGCCTCGCATCCTTGGGCGCCAGTTGGATGTATCAGGAACGGTCAAGTCTACATCCATTAGGTCACTGGTTCGAGAAACAGATTGAACAGTGGGACCAGTTGGGTGCTGCCTTTGAGTGCTTGCATGGCTACTGGTTAGACCTCTGATGCCATAACTATTAGGCTGGCTGAGTACTCTAGGGACATGCTGAGACTGAACATAAGACGATACATTCACTGCCGACTGGCTCGTTACTGGAACTGGGACCCTCCGGCTCTGCAAGGAACACATATCGTCAACATACGAATACTCAAGAAAAGAATCCAGTATCTCAAACGAAATCACAAACCTTATATGGAGTTGTCATTGATGGCGCTTGAGATGAATAAGTCTGGTTCCATCTCGGACTAGAGGTTCTACCAAGATATGTTCCGGTGGGCGTAACAGGTGAAGCATGAACCTGAGAGAATTGTGGAGAGGGATTCGGTATGGTGAAGACAGTGGAAGTAGTTGCTGGTCTATCTCTTGGAGATGGTGTCTGCGAGAATGGCACAGGTACCTGCATTGGATCTATGGACATTGGTATTTGGGATAAGTTGGAGTATTGTTGACCAGTTCCAGTATTCAAAGCTTGATGCGGTTGTGGCTCAGTGTTTCCCAAAGCAGATAATATCACTGGGTCAAATGCGATCACATCAGAGATATCGAATATCGAACAGTAATCATCGTTTGAAGCATCTTTATTTGTGTTGTTATTATTAGATTGACCCTGAGCATCAGACATACAGGGCTTCCGGTCCTCAATCTTGTTGTTACCAAAAACTTCCATTTCAGCATCATCATCCCCCGTAAGATCCAAAACAACTGGACCAGAGTTTAACAAGCTCATTGGGTCTTCTAGATCATGAATGATCTCACGCACAGGTTCCGGGGTCTCGCCAGTTTTCTTTGTAACCTTCCATGTACCATCAGCATCGATGATTACAGCAGCAGCATTATATTCCACATCTTTTAATATCTAAGGATATGATATGAGACAAGTTATCAGTATTAAGTTGCAACTTAAAAATGTAGCAGTAATCAAACTACGACATAGATAGCTACTTGCCTTGGCCATGTTTTGATCTAAACGAATGTCGGGGTAGCAAACAGGTTGATTGCAATGCGGGCAGCGCCAGGATGGGTTTCTCATATTTATGTGGACATAATTTGAGAAATCAAAACACTGCAGCAGAAAGTACCACATCACTAACAAATATTAAGAGAAAAATAAGGTAACACCCACATTAAAACACTGTATGCTAATCTAAAAGGATGGAAAAACAGTTATCGCTTGATATTTGGTTGCATCACCTGAAGATGTTTACATAACTGGCCCTTGACTGGAAGCTTGATCCGCTTGCGACTGTTTATTGGAGACTATATCACTGACGCAAAAAAACCATAACATAGCACAGTTAAAAAGTAAAAGTGGTACCTTATAGGACAATTGAGAGATACTCGTGATGGCCCCTCAATGATGTCTGAATCTATAGACAGGTAAAAAAAAGTACAGAGCGATTAGATTGGAAAAAAATCTTACAGTTATGTGGTTGCAAGTCATTGAAGGATTCAAAGTGGAATATTACAGAGCAATAAAGAAAAATGCTCATCTCTCCTATATTATGCTCTTGAATTACCTGGACTTGATTCAATGACTCCGGACTGAAGGTAATCTTTAAGAACTGGTTTTTCAGGCGGCACTACCAGTCCCGTAAAAGCAATTATGATGATGTAATTTCCTTTGAACAATCAAGCAACTTAATAAGATATTAATTAAAAAAACATGGACAACAGAAAAATATATATAATTGAATAGATACCTTTAAAATTCCCCATCACTTGGAGAAGATTAGTTCCGTATTTCAGCTGTGCAGTAACATTTGTAGGGAGTTGAGGCCCTGTATCCTGGAAAAAAAAAAATTGACATAAACATGCACATAACCAGTTCAGAGAAACGAATCTAATTAACTGCACAAACCATTGCAATATTAACTCTCTTCTCAACCCCCTTTCCATTTAGCAGGAAGCTGCAATTTTCATACGAAAGCCAGGAAAGTTACATTGGATCACATTTCGGGTCAGTGAGGAAAAATAGCAAAAAAAAATCTCATACCTGACTTCTGGAGGATTTGAAATACAGGCAGACGTGTCTATGTAGTCTGTCTGGGCAACAAATAACCGCTGAAGAGCAAACAAGAATCTGGTGTAAGAAATCATATGCTAACCAAAAGGCGCAGAGAATGGGCACATCAACAAGATGAAACAGATTCGAAGTACATATGAAGGACTGTTGGATAGAATGCAAGCAATGGTTAAATTCACATGGCCACCTAATTGCACAGATAAAGATAGAATCTATTATAGAGAGACCCAGAATGAGATATCGAATGACTAATAGATGAGCCATACATACAATTTTCTCTTGGAGTGAGTGTGGCATAGTCTTTGAGATATGAAAATCATGCGCCAGCATTGTATAGCCAGCCTGTCATGTAATGAAAGCCAAAAAAAAGAGCACACTTAGAGGATAACATATCAGAAACAGATGTTTAGAACAGAAGAAAGGCTCACCTTCACTTCAAAAGAAACAAGGACATGCCCAAGCTTTACAAATGGATAGAACCTGGGATCAGAAAGAAATAAATTTCAACCAACTGTTAGATTTGTATCCACTGAATACCATTCTATCCAAGAAGTTTTTGGTACTGCTTAACTAGCTTGTGATAAAATTTTGGAAATATTCACGCTCCTAATAAACTGCTAGAGTAAATCAATCTGTCAATCAACAAAGCCACACAGTGAAAAGCAAAACCTACCTCTCCATGATCTGCGAAAATGTACTGCCAGGACAATTGATACCAGGGCTAGTGCTTCCAGAACTCCCAAAACAAGTCCTTATCTGAATAAGAAAGAAAACATTAGTATCCTCAAAATCCAAATAACCTGCTATCTGATTTATGCCATGATTCGTAAGAAAACAGACCTCATCAGCCAGAGCGATAAGTTCTTGACTCTCTCTATCCGAAAACCATCCCAAATGACAAGCATGCTGTGACATCAACAAAAATCAAGCATTATATGTCAAAACCAAATGAGTTACCATATAGATGGTGTTAAATTGAAAACCTTTTAACCTCAAACATTCCAACCCACATGAAATCTAAACAAAAGGCTTCTCTTTTCTAAACAAAAATGTACTTATTCACAGAACAGCAGCATTCTACAGATTACTAATCCAAACACTACACAGAAGCAGTCTCTGTTACCTTAATAGAGATCATCAGCACCATAACCGCCGTCTTAGTGTACACATCAGTTCCATGTCGACACACCTACATCACATAACACACACACTATCATCAGTACACTAACAATGGCCTCCATTAATTCAGTCAAAAATCCATATCTTAATCAAGAAATAACCTGTTTGAGCAACCAGGGAAACTCTTCAACCTTCTTAGGAATATCATTATTCGCTATAGCAAAATCAATGCCTCTGAACAGAGCAATAAGCAATTCATCAAAAAAAAAAATTAAAAATTGACATAAGAAAATCAAAACCCAGAGAATAAGAAACCAAAGGGTATACTCAAATTTAGACAAGCTTGGATTGTTGTGCAACGCATGTTAATATCTATATGCAACGCGATTAGTGAAGAGAGAAATTTACTTAGCGAAAGAGATGCAACAGATCTGAAACTCCTTAGCATCACCCTTAGCTCCGGTTTGAATGTGGTAACGTAAACGTTGAGTGACCGACGCTAATCGGAAGGAATTGACCAGTGACGCTGCCGTCTTCTCCCGTAAGCCAGTTCCAGCCACCGCAGCCGTAGACATTGAGCTTTGGAACTAGCTACCTTGGAATCACAAAAAGTTTGGATTTTGAAATATAAAATCAAAACAAGAAACACGATTTGAACAAGACGAAGAAGAAGAAGAATAAATTACTCTGCTCAATCGAAAATAACCCTAAAATTCTTCTCTGTGACCTTTTTTTTTTTTTTTGCTGTTTCCAATATTGTAACGGATTTTAACGTTTTATATTTAATGGACTTTAATTTTGTCTCTGCATTTTAATTTGTTATTTTTATGAAATTCATGTCATTAATTTGGTATTCGGATCCGTTTTTATTTTTACGTTTTATGAGTCAAAGTCTGATTTTTTGCCCTAGTACTTTACAGGTTTTTGAATTATCCCCTAAAGTTTTAACAAATATAAATTTGTTAATATGTCTAGTTTGATTATTATAAAGGTTACAAAAGAGTGATAAAACTGCAGAACATGTGTATTACAAAAGAATATGATTAAATTTAATCATTCATGGCCTTGATTCTTGAGCTTGAAGACCCAATTTGATTCATAAACTCTGGTTCTTTTGTTGTTTTGGATCTTACTCGATAGTCAATAACTCAATATGACAATATGATGATGATGATGCTCTAAAGATTCTTCTTCGATGATTACCGTTAGGTATTTGATATAACCATATATATGAGACAAGGTATCAATATAAATGCTGCAACCACATAAATGTAGGCATTTATGTTGTTTTTGTTTGTCTGCATTAGTTTTATTGGTATTTGCCTTGCCTTCTTGAGATGGACACTTCGTAATTCGTATAGTCCCACAACACTTGTCCTATTGAGGATGAGGTCGTCATTTGGTAACAATTTTTTCCCGTACCATTATAAGTAACAAGTAAGAAAAGTAGCTGCACCTGAAATAAGTTGTTCATTCTAAAACACATAAACCACAAATAACACTATTTAGATATAATTTTCTACCTCGTCAAATTAGAACATCAAGCTAATCGAAGATTAACTATCAAATAAACACTATTACACTTACGTTTTACCAGGACATTGTTCTTCCATATTATAAGATGAGCATATTTAGAAAGCTCACAAAGAAGATCACGTATATTATGCTAAAATGTTTGATTATTTATAAAATATTTTTAAATAGTGGCATAGTGCTGTACAATTGACCCCAAAAAAAGAGGATGTTTATTAATTAAGAGAACATTTGGTCTAATAACAAAACCAAAGCCATTGCCAAACCGGTGTCAAAACCAGGATTAACAACCAGATCAAAAACATCTGAACCGAACCGAACTCCTTTGGTTCTGGCCTCTTTCCTTTTGATCTCCACCACTGTCTTGTTCAATGGGACATGCACTATTTTACACGATTTACATCTGTACGATCCTTTGATGATGTAAGAATTCTTCTTATCGAACGATCCTGAATATACGTATGCCAAAATGTCGGATTTGGTGCTTAGAATATTCATCTTTAAGTTCTTCCTCATGTACCAGCTGATTGGGCACTTTGGTACTTTTGCGTCCCCATTTGTATCCTTTGCTTCATATATTCCCCAACTATCTACTAGCGTAATTTTCTGGACAACACAAAGGAAAATCTTTGAATACACATGCACATGATCATGACTACAACATTTAAAACAACTCAAACTAGTGTGATCCACGATATAGTCACGTCAAAATTGCTATACTTAAAACGAATTAGAGAAGGATAGATTTTGGTGAAACTAAAAGTCAAACATATAATACTCGGAGATTCTAGACGTCGTTATCTGAAAAATAATTGTGATTGTACTTTTATAGTCAAAATTTTTATGCTGATTTGGAATTTTGTAAATATATTCCCAATGAATATGACGGTTTATACGAAATTCTTGCCAATACAATTGTCCACATGCAGAATATTTTATGTACTTTTGACGTGACCTATTGTGGACGGTGTCACGGTAGTGTAGTTGGTCCTACTCAATCTTAAATTATACTATAGTATTCATAATATCTTCGTTCATACATATCTTCAATCGGCTAAAAACAAAACGTCTTCTACAAAATCGGCTAACATGCATGTCTATCATCGAAATTAATATCTCCACGACTCTACATCAACATTGCTCTACATTCATCGATCATAATGATCAACATATCGCCGACCTTAAGTACTATTTACAAACTATCACAATTAAGCAAATCGATCGGATACTTAGCTAGAGTACTGATTGGTAGGACGACTAAAAATTCTTACAATATTTAAAGTATTTCTACATCATTTTGGTAAATTCTACCAAAAACTCACAACTCTTATATAAATCATTATAGGTTTTTTTCTACGTCTAATAATTTAAAACAACTCAAACTAATATTACATAACTAAATTACAACTACAACGCTAACCAATATATCAGATTCATAATTGTGAGACAGATTTAGTAGAGGTTAATTAGTTGATTCTTAACAATCTCTTATAATGTGATATTATAGTTTCGAAGGAGGATGTGTTAGTACAATGAGTATAATGATCTAAATTTCAAATCATATTCATGTAAGTTTTATTCTAATTAATGTGTATAGCTATATATATTTACCTTGGTACGGTGCATGAGGAGGAGGGAGTTTCCATCTTTATCCATGAGGATGAGTTCTTCGGGTCGGGTTCGGGCATAGTTATCGACCCGGTAAATCAAATCTCCATTCGAATCTATCACCGTGAATCCTTCACAACTCACCAGAAGCGATTTTCTCCACACCGTGAGTGTCGTACACGCTCCTCCAGAATCTGTGGCAGCGACGGTGACTGAGGACTCTGTAGACGACGGTGCATCTTCACCGTGGACCGACCTCGACCGATGCTTCAAGAAAGGGAACATTTTGTAGTTTTGGTGTTCTTGGTTAACTATTTTGAGAGGGTTTTTATAGATCTAATTAATCTCAATTCTCAACACAAATATGGTAAGGTTATGTATACATGTATGAGAGAGAGATATAAAGAGGTCTAATATGTGTGTGTGTATTGAGGAAAGATATTAGCTTTGTCGAAGGCAGGTGTGGCTAATATGAACTCTTTTGTCGAAGGCAGGTGTGGCTAACTGTGATTGGGTAATGATTAGGTAGTCAGATTTATGGCTTTGGCACGCATGGTTTTCTGGATTGAATTGGATATTTCGTTGATTAAAGAATTAATAATATTTTAATAGAATATAAAAATGTATTACTGTATTAGGTAAAAACTTTAAGATTATGCAAGGTCTCAAAACGAGCCACGTAATCTTCTTAGACCCACGATAATAGATTTTGAGGTCTCCAAGAATCTCTTATCTTTTTGTCTCCGAATCTTCTCTGTTTTTTTGAAGAAAGATTTAACAAAATAAAATCTCTCTTTCTCTTCGTAAACGTTGGTTCGGTGAAGGACAATTCTCTTCCACACGATTAGATGTAGAAAATTAGGGGTTTTTAGTAAAATAGACACTTTTCTAAAAGTTATTTGAGAAGTAAGTAGACACTTTTTTTGCTTTTGTGAGATAGAAGAGAGGTGTAATAGAGTAAATAACAAAACAATTGTCAAATACAATTCTACCATTTGTGTTGTGAGAAAAAACTTTTGATGTGGGTCCAAATTTTTAGGAATAATAGATCAAATACTATTTTTTAGGAATAATGGATAAAATTATTTTTTTATTTTTTTAATTTGTATATTTTTCTATCACAAACATTATAAATAACTTTTTGTGTACTACTGTTTGTACACCTGTTTGTACACTAATGTTTGTACACCCGTAATTTACACTAATGTTTGTACACCCGTTTGTACACTATTAAATTGAAGAAATGTTTGTACATTCATACGTAATATACACTAATGTTTGTACACCCGTTTGTACACTATTCAATTGAAGTAATGTTTGTACATTCATACATAATTTACACTAATGTTTGTACACCTGTTTGTACACTAATGTTTGTACACCTGTTTGTACACTAATCTCGTACACTATCATTTTTTACATTAACACTTAACAAAAATAGTTCTCTCATTCTAGACGTGGTGTACAAAATATGTGAAAGTGTACGATATTGTAGACGGTGCAGAAGGTGGTGTATGGTGAGATCTATTATCTCATCGTTTCATGTACACCATTAATATCATGTACACCATACATCGTATTATATAGTTGTACACTATTATAGATTGTAGTTTGTACAATGTCATATCCAGTATATCAACTCTTATATCATGTGAGTATCATAAATTAATTTTTACATTATCGTAGTACACTACCGTTTGTACACTATCTTTACATTATCACGTACACCGTCGGATTGAGATTGAATATAAAAATTGTTATGTATTCGAAAAATATAGCAAAATTGAATTTTTTAGATTCATAAAAAAAAAATTAAAGATTAATATGTTATTGTGGTAATTTTTTTTTATGAAGAATTTTTATCAAAACAAAGTGAAATTATTTAAGTGAAAGAGAAGAAAAAAAAATAAAAGTTTTTTACTAAGTCAATTATGTCATTATGTGAGTACATAAAAACAAAAAAAGATAAATATGTCATTTACTAATATCTCTATTAGAGAGAAAGGTGTATTAGAGAGGAAAAAGAAAAGTGTCTACTTTTTTAATTTTAAAAAAAAGTATATACTTTACAAATTATTAGTGGAAAAATATCTACTTTACAAATTTTCTCAGAAAAACATTATATATACAAGAGAAAAAATCAATTATATAAAATGCTAGAATTTCATATCATATTAGGCGACGAATCTTCCATATTAAACTGACTTATAACACTGCATGAGTTATGTGAATGTATATGAATGAATATTCAAATAGAATAATTTATTTATTTTGAATAACCAAAGTTGGAAAAGTACATGAAAAATAAGTGAGCTTTCATTGTCAAACCTGATTTTGTTGATCTTCGGGTTTGTTGCAATTCTTCAAGAGGGATGTAGACATAGTGGAGCACATGTGTAGAAACACGTGTCATGAGTCATGACTCAGCACTAAAATGGGATCTCACGAAAGAAGTTATCTCTGGAGGCCAAGAGACCAGAGTAATCAATTCAAACCCACGTGCGTGAGTCCCTGACTTGTCTCTTCTTATCTTTCGGGTCTTCGAATTCAATAATCAAAATCTTATATATATCCCCAAACGCAG